TATATGCTAATGTCCTAGTATAGACTAAAAATATAAACGAAAACGCAGACTTACTTTGCTTTTCTTTAAGCCTTAGCTACAGCCGCTTTCCTCTCATCTCCGCCAGAAAACTTTTCTTCAAAAGTAGAACAGTTTCTTGTAAAATGTCTCTCAATGTTTGACTGTTTTACAAGTCACTTCTTATTCTCCAGTTTCTTGTTTGAATTTTGAAATTCTTCCTGAGGCGCCAGAATGTAAATGCGGCACCATTTAAGGTGGACCGGGAAAATTCGAAAGAGAAGCTGACTTCATCTTCGTAACTTTTTAGTGTGTGACAGTCTCTCGTTGCAGATTTAACATACCAGGAAACCAACTGCAGTCCATTCGTCTCTGCACGCCAGGGGAAAAGGGACCTGGATAAGAACCACACTATATGCAAGTTGTGTCACGGTAAACTAAAATATTTTGGAAACGACAAACATTAGAAGCCATAACTGTGCATTACTCACCGTAACTGTGCATTTTATCGCAGATGAGTGGCAGCCTGCATCTCATGTGCTCCGAACAAGAGCAGTGAAAGAGAGCCTTCTAGTTCACTTGCCACATCACTTCCATTTGTTTTATTAATAAAAGATATTGGAAGTGAATTCATTATGGATCATTACAAATACTTTGCTTTAAAACTACCAAGTCCTCACACAGTGAGAAAATAGAAGTCCTGTATAGAAAAAAAAGATGCATCGATAATCGTTTTATAATCGCATCGCAGCCCTCTGAATCGTAATCGAATCGAATCGTGAGGTGACTAGAGATTGCCACCCTATTATACCATATTTGATTATGTCAAATATGAATATATTAAATACCGTATTCACAGTGTTTAATAGTATTTTTTAATATGTATAAATAATGTAACATATCGTGCATTGTAAAAATTTTCTTTAATTATCACAAGATTACATTTATGCTATGTTGCCCTCCTCTGTTGGATCTTCTTTTTGTTTGGAATATTAACTTAAAGTAACTCGGAGTAAAATTATTTTTACACTGTTTTATTACTTCTACTGGTATTCAAGTGAATTGACACTACAGTTGTTCTTTTCTTAAGCAGGAATTTTCAGTCCTCTTCCCATCCTTGCAAAAAGTAAATTATAAGAACAACAATTGAGACTGATACAGTTTCTGTTACGTTGGGGCACAAAAAGTCCACTTTGTTTGTTTATTTTACCAAGGGTGTTCATTAATCCAAAGGGCATTCTATTTTGGATCTGTTGCTCTCCGTGGTTAAAGCAAATGATATATGAATGCCAATTTGCTGCTCTGGCGTGTGTTCAGGTACCCAAGGCAGAAGCCATCTGTCCTGCACTGCAGAAAGAAAGGACTAGCAGTATACTGCTTCTGCTCGCTTGATCCGGCAGAAAGAAAAGCATCGGGTTGGCCGTCGCAGGGCCCTGCCACCTGCCTTACAGAGAAGGCTTAGGGTGCTGAACACAGGTAGACCATGTGGCAAATGCCACAGTGAAGGCAGGGAGGAACGTGCGGCATCCTTGGCTGGACAAACTGTCCATGCATGCCGAGTATTTTGGCAGGCTGGTGTTCATAGTTTACATGAGGTGTTATTGCAGCCGGCACCGCAGCGGTGTCATCTGCCTGCCAGCATTAATCTTCGTCCTTGGTAAAGAGAAGATGCTTGCACGGCATTTGTTTGTAAAGCGTGTGGGGGTAGGAGATCAGTGGTAGTGTGATGTGTGTTGAGCAGAGGACAGGTGACAGCTGCTCCTACAACTCGCAGAGGAGACGACTGCAAAAGGAGATACTGTTTAAGCCATTCTGCTTTACCCCAAACATTTCTGCTTTACCCCACATATTTTCAATCAGCCATGACAGTTTGGAATTCTAAGCTTCTTTTTTGGCTCAAAGCTTATATCCTACCAATTGTCATTACTAAGGGTCCTACCAGTATGAACATTTTGTGTCCGATAACAGTAGGACAAAAGGACTAAAAATACCAATAATCGACAGTATTGGCCGTTTTAATTTATATTTACGTTTTACATTGTAGATTTGTTCTCCAGTAGTGGAACAGTACTTTATTGCGAATATCATTGTCAGCTCACAATTGTCAAACCTGTTAAACTTTATTAAATGGTTGTTTTGGTTTCTGGTCATTTTCTCTTATTTTTTTAATTAATTCTCTTCATAACAAGGTGATAAAGGTGAGGTTTGAGGTCACATGTTATACTACTTATGGTGGTGTTTTGTTTTCATATTCATCAGTTCAGCCCCTATTGCTGTGATACAGTTAAATAGGGGCTCTCATATCTCATATTGGGTTCCCCAGTGGCACAGCCATTAAAGGTTTTGCCCTGTCTTCAGGAGAGGAGATGTTTTTGAATCGTGGCAGCACCCAAAAAAAAACCAAATTATTGGCAGTACCTTTAAAACTGCGGGTTGTCAGTATCGGACGATATTATCGGCCAATCAATAAATCAGTCAGACCCTAATCATTGCTGTTTTTACTATGTGATGTTCTTTTGTCCAATTGTGTAGGTAGCCTTTTAGTTTCAGTGCAACACTGAAGAAACAAACTTTGAACTAAACACGTCTTGTATGATCCCCAACGCAGGAGAGGATTTGTATAAATCTGAATTTTTAGAACACTTTTACCTGGCACAGTGTGGCCCATAGAACATAACAGTTATCTGCTACTCACAGTTATTAGACCTAATTTGTCCACATACGAATGAGACGGTTAAGCCCACACAGAAAGCAAATTAATTAATTGCCTTTTAGCAGACCACCCATAAACTGATGACTGTTTCTTCCCTCTGCTATGTGCTGATTTGTTTCACTCTAAAATGGCACGATTTTGAACTTCATTATGTTCGTATGGGTCTGTAATCAGGTTTAGCTGAGTTGATTCATTTTTATTCTTTTTCCTGTCTCCTGCTTTCCTGGAATTTTTTAGGAAGGAGACGGGCAAAAGTGGGGAAATGCTTCAGAATAAACACATAATTAAACAGCAGGTCTAGAGGTTGACTGGTCTTGCTGAACCCTGTTCTAATCTATTTTCTCAAGACTGGAGTCAAGACTGTACGCCTTTCTGATTCTGTCCCGAATGGAGCGTGAAGAGAAACACACTCAGTCTGACACACACCCTTCTGCGTGTGTGTTTTTCTTTCTTGCAATTACAGAGTGGGAAGGGGAGCAGGGACAGGGAGAGCCTCAGTAGCCATATATTTGAGATATAACAGCCGAGGCCTACCACTCGTACCCAACTGCCTGAGTTGCAGAACACCAACCACGTGCCTCTGCAAACCACTGAATCTAGGCCTAGCTAAGTTGTTGAAATGTAAATGTACCTTTTTATAAGTATTTCAAAAGTATGAATTGTTCAGTGTGTGGCGTCAACCATTTTATTCTGCCATTTGCGAGTCTTAATGACTCACTGGAGTGATTTATATTTGGACTGTACAGTTTTGGTCCCAGAGTGGGTTTTGTACAACTTAAACTATAGCCTATAATTTTTCTCTATATTTCAGCTTTGCATGTTTAGTGCAGATGGCTTTTCTTTCCCTTTTTTATTTTTTTAGGAGCAGAATTATTTCCTGCTTTAGACTCGACTTTCAGCTTCCAGTGTGTTGTTTACTGTGGAAACCTCTCTTGTCAGGCTTTCATTAGTACTGTGAGACACCAGACGCTGGAAAACTTGTAGCTTATGATTAAAAAAGAATTTAGAGTAAATGTTCGGAAGACAAAACGTCCTCATTGTTGATTGGCTAGTTGCGCTTTTGCGTTTGATCTTCAAGGCCATCTCCTGCTTTGTGTCTGATCTACTAGGCTATCTCCTCTTTTGTGTCTGATCTCCAATAACACCCTCCACCTTTATTCAATTACTTCGGTCCAAAACCACCAGCGCCCCAGACAATCATGCTGACATGTTTTCAGAAATGAACTCCAGCACGCTCAAATAAACGCAGCACAGACAGAGATTAGAGGCACCTATTAAACGATAGGAGAACGCTCTCCAAGCAGACACGAATGTTTAATCTCGTTCCAATACTTTTTATAAGGCAAGGTGCTCAGACGGAAAGTGGGGAGGACAGTCATTGCATCCCATGGCGAAGCAGAAGGAAGCGTGTGTGGTGCTCATTAAGAGTGTGTGGCACAGGCTGCCTGGTGCGGCGTTCCCTGTCTGCTGTCGTACAGAGGGAAGGCCTCCTGCGTGAAGTGTAATTACAGCTGAGTAATGCAGGAACCCTCATTACCTGCCTTACCAGATATCCTTCTATTTTACTGGATCTCTGACCTTTCCAGATCTCCGTAGACGGTTGTTGTGTCAGCAAGACTAAACAGAGCCCTATTTGGTCTTTAAGCTCAAATGTTGGTGATTTGGTTGTTATAGTGTAGTAAAATTAGTAAGCTGAATTCATAGTTTATTAGGCACACCTTTTAGGTGGAATTTGGTAGGTATGGCTGGGCATTGTTAAAAATGTGTAGATATTGATACCAATATCTTGATGTCGATATTGATTTCTGAACTGTACTTCTTCTGATAAACTTTTCTTTTGATTATAAACCAAAAAGTGGGTGTGGCTTAAACTGGAAACAAGTGTAAGGTGCTGGAAGTAGGTTTTTACTGGCCTTAACAGACTGAGGATAATTGGGGTCTAATCCTTGAACACTTGCCACTTGCAAAGCACTTTATCATAAAACATTGGTTTAGGCATCAGGCAACATATTTGTATGCAACTGTTGCAATAACTTCCTATAATGCAGCTTTCAGAGGCATTAAATACTTCAGAAGTCTGGTCACTACTGGTCATCACTGCTGCTATGAACAATTATGACTCGGCAAGTCTGTCTGGAATCACTCATTTCTCATTTAACCACTCAGTATGACTTTGTTTACATCTTAACTGTTTTTTTAATGTGAAAAATCTGTGGAATTTGGCTTTTATGGAGATTAGGCAATTTGTTTGGTTTGGATTTTTAGCTCAGTTCGATGTGTCTCTCTGCAGGTGTGTGCAGTAATGAGGTGTTGGTTCCAGAGAACATCCGAGCGGTACTGGGGAAGAACGTCACGCTGAGCTGTAGGGTGGAGGTGGGCGCCAACCTCAGTCTTACCCAGAGTTCGTGGGAGCGGCGCCTGGCCACGGGAATGGCCACCCTGGCTGTGTTCAACCCTCAGTTTGGCACGTCTGTAGCGGAAGAGTACAGGAATCGCATCCACTTTGTCAGACCGTCAGTGGAGGATGCCTCTATAGTTCTGCAGGGAGTGGGCTTCGAAGATATCGGATCCTACACCTGCAAGGTGGTCACTTTTCCGCTTGGCAACACGCAGGCCTCTACAACTATGGACGTCATGGGTATGTATGAGTGTGTGTGAGTCATTCTGGCTCTGTTTAGGCTTTGGCTTCAGTATATTTTTCTGCTCCCAAATTATACCAAGTGACTTAGTCCTACAGGTCTGTTGGGGTGAAGGCTGTATTAGACTCCTCTGATGTACAGTCATATGCAAAGTTTGAACACCCCTGGTCAAATTACATGTTTTGTTGATTTTCTACAGGGAACAAACTTAACCCCTTACATGGCCAGGGCCTGCAGATCCAACATTAAAAGTTGTGACATTTACCAGTGGCAGAGAAAATGCAAGCCATTGAGAACCCCCATGCATGGCCAGCACACAGCACAGCTGGGATTTGAACCTAAATCCCAGTGAGAGGGCTCATATCTGTGTTGTTAAGGCACAAGGAGAGCAAGCATACCAAATAGCCAAACAGATGTGGAAGACTGAATGAATAGTGAACAATCCAGCTGTGAGGCACGAGCACTCCCTTCCTGAATGGCTGATTAGTTTATAAAGTGGAAAGGAAGGAGATTGTCCAGAAGCCAGCATGCATACACTTACAACATAGAGGCCCTGTAATGCCTAATGAATGATTCATTAAGGGCTGCTTAATACTGTGTTGTTATGGTTTACTGTCTCAGTCTCTTCCTGAGAACTCAGTGTAAGTTTTCCTGAATTACTGTTTCTTTTTCTTATGACGTTCATTTGTTGTATTCATTTTAAGGTGCCTGTGATTATATTTAACTTTGGAAAATAGCAAAACAGCAGTTAGTATAGCTGTCATGCACTAGTGTTGAGTTTTAGTTTTAGTAGTTTCGATACACAGAAACAGAAACTTAACCAGCCACAATGTATTATTTTATGGGTGCATCAGATTGTTTAAAAAAATAAATAAATAAAAAGGTAAAAACAAAACGAAACAGTCAAATCAAAACAATCTATGTCAGGTTAGTAGGACATTCTTTCACATTCCTTTATAGAAAATCCAGAAATCAGAAGTGGTCTTAGCCACGCCTCTGGGCAGTTATTTCCAATCATACAAGACCAGGGGGCTGTTTCTCATGACAGGATTTCTTGGTTAGCCTGATAACCTAGGCTAAAAAAAAAAGCCTGTCCAGAAAAAGAGTTGAGCAATGTTTCTATTGGACAGTCCTCAATTTTTGGCTTACGTTATCCAGCTTACTGAGAAATCCTGCTTTGTGAAATACCCCTCAGGCTCCTATCTACCAGAAACAGAAAGGCAGACTAACGCTTCAAAAACGTATGTCATTAGTAACATATTAATCATTGGTAATTGTATAAGTAGTGGTGTTGTTTGGCTCAAAAAGCGCTCTATGAGCCAGATTCATAAAACACACCGGCAGACTAATGGTAATTTTAAGAGCAAATAGCGTGTTTGCTCATTCATAAAGGAAGTTTATCAGCATGTTGCCATGCTTGTATCTCATTTACGTATGGCCATAGCGATTCACAAACTCGCAAAAAATAACACCTGAACCACTCTGGCAGTAATTTTCCCATTAAGCCTTTTAGCCTAAGTTTTAGCTTGAGCAGAATTTCAGATTAGTAGATTTAACTGGCACTGTATATAAAATGGCCTTTTCTTCCTGCATCAAAATTCAGTATTTCACAAATCCCTCTCCTGAATATGGATAGTAGGTTTAGCTTAGAATAAATTGAGAGTAATTTGACATGTTGAGATTCTAACTATGTGCTGAGCAGTTATAGCTTTTAATCCTGTTTTTCAATTTACAATGAATTTTACAAAGAATTCACTTTACGCAGGAAACATTAATTATTATATATAATTATATATAATCGTTATTATATATGATATATTATTATTATTTAATATATCATTATTATTTCTTACCAGTCAAAACAGATTTTTCTTACCAGTCAAAACAGATTTTTTCTAAAGTTGAAATCTAATAATTACTAGAGATACTGAGATCAGGAGAATTAGGAAATTAAGGCTAAAACTTAAAACTAAAACATTAGAATTGAAGCATGTCAATTTCATTTTATTTGTGTGGAGAAAAAATGATCTTAAACTTCATTTTGTTATTTTTGTATGTTAAAATATTACTGCAGTTAGCAGTATGCGGCCAAATGGCACTGTACATGAAGCCGCACAAACATTGGCATGGTGAACATGTTACAGGTGAAAGTGGATGGTTAGAGGATTAGAGGAGAGCTTTAGCAGTGTAGATTGATTATTTAAGGAGGACTGAAGTCAGGAGGACGCTGTGTACTCTTATTGTTTATTGTAAAATAACAGGTAATAGGTTCATCTGGAATTCAACAACAAGATGTTTGGCATCAATGGCTCCCCAGAAATCACTTCAAAATGTCTCTATTTTAGCATAGAGCAGCAGTACTCAGAAAGTATGTGTTCGTTACCTTTATCAATGCAATCTTAAATGTCATCTAATACTGAAAAAATTGGAAAATGCTGTAATATTGAATTTTATCAGCAGCACACAGCACTACTTTTTTTTAATTACATTTTTATGAGGAATGTGATGGGGAGCAAAATTGAGCACAAGCTTTTTTCAAGTGAAATCATCCTGCTTTGAGTTGTTCACTGTTAATCCTACTTTCTTGTCCACCCATAAAAGTATGACATCTGAGTTACCATCTGTTTCTGCACCATCTGCCCACTCTCTACATGCTGTGATTAGTCAGCAATCCCGAAAATGATATTCATAAGCATTGCTGCTGAAAAGGTATAAAATTTCACATATAGAAGTCTGCAATGATTCATGGAGATTGCAAGTGGCCAGAAAATCAGCAGGAACAAACAGCAGACAGCAATCATTTTCATTTTATGCCTCTTTACTTGGTAGAAATGTTCACTATGCGTTATTTGTTAAAATGAAAAACTTTTCTAGACCCTAGTTAGCGTTTTAATACTAAGAAGCAGTAATATAGCAAAAGAACATGTGTTGGAATGTGCTATTCCTGTAGATTATAATTAGCGTACACAAGATGGGGAAACACCCTATTCAGCACCCCTAATTTGCCTAAGGAAAAAAAGAAAAAAAAGTTCATTGCTAGTGTATCGTTTCCTTGCAGGCTGTTTCTGACATCCGTGACGGATATGAACCATAGTATCCTCGTTTTATTTGGTAGGCATAAAACCGAGGCAGTTCACAGCAAGGCAAACCATGGTAGATACTGTTTCCTCAATAAAATGCTTTTTACACTGACTGTGCAGTTCTCAGATGCACGGCATATGGATGACTCAGTTATTATGTTATATTTTGAGAATCTCCACAAAGAGGGAAATCTAGCCAATCCTTTGGAAACATAACAAGCTGACAATAAATGGCTTTTGCACACAGAGCCTGTCCTTACTCATGCCTAATTTTGATGACCCATTGTCAACGACTTAAGCTTTTACAATAAAACACAACGGATGTGGCGTGCATGTCAAGCTAGAGATATTTATAGTTACCTTTCCTTTTTCTCTCAGTTGATCTTAATAAATTTCTGCAAATGTTAATGCACCAAAAATGAAACAAAATAACATAGTAACTAGGGGTGGGAATCTCTAGGCACATCACGATTTGATTACGATTCAGAGGGCTGCGATGCGATTATAAAATGATTATCGATGCATCTCGATGCATCTTTTTTTTCTATATAGCATTTATATTTTCTCACTGTGTGAGCTCAAGTTTCAAGTTCCAAGTTTCAAGTTTATTTGTCATTTGCACAACATGTCAGGACATTTATGCATTGAAATGCTTGTGGTGAGGCTCAGCTAATCACTCTACAGAAAGTAAATAAGTAAAAATAAAAATACAAGAAAAACCAACTGAAATATATCAAATATACACAAAATATATACAGAATATAGAGACAATATACATTTTAAAGTGACTTAGTGACTCAGTGTTATTGTTATTTAAAGTATTTGTCATGATCCATAATGTATTTACTTCCAATATCTTTTTTAATAAAACAAATGGAAGTGATGTGGCAAGTAAACTGGAAGGCTGTCATTCAGTATGTCTCACATACTGAGACATACTGGAAATTAAGAGGGAGCCGGTCGGATTTCTCGCTCATCCAGTTGTATTTTTGTTATGTGCCGCCACAGACTGTCCGGGCGCTGCACTTCCACACTTCCAAGTTCTGCCTTTTGCGTTCCGCCAACATTACATTATAAATTAAATATTTAGAAAATCGATTTTTGACATTTGTGAATCGATTCAGAATTGTTCACGTCTGCATCGCGATGCATCTAAAGAATCGTTTTCTTCCCTGCACCCCTAGTAACTGTGGTATGTGCAAACTGTTTGAACAGTTGTAAAGACTTTAAGTAACTTGCTAGGCCCTAATTGACTTGTTAAGACTGGTTAGGCAGGCCAAGAATTATCATTAGGAACTGTCAGAAGAAGACAATCCCAAAGCATAGTACATTCTCGGACTCTTCAAACCTTGCGCTACCATTCAACCATGGACTCTCTCCTCTTAACATCTGGCTGAGGATTTGATAATGAAGCATGATGCCTGCAAAGCAGGGGAAGGCTATAAAAGAGACATCAAAGTGCTGCCTGCTCGCATTTCCTACTGTCCAAAATGGCAGTTAAGAGGAACTGTGGAGCTCAAGGCAACATCTGGAAGACCAAGAAATGTCTCAGACAGAACTGCTCGTATGCTGACCAGAAAGGCAATGCAAACCACCATATGACAGAAGACCTAAAGGACGGTTTAGCTGATGCAGGAGTGGTAGTGCACCATAGTGTTGTGCAGCATGCTTGCACAAACTTGATCTGCATGGAAGAGTCATCAGAAGGAAACTTTATCTGCAACTTTATCACAGAAGTCAACAAAACAACATCTTAAATAAGATTAAGATAAGACATTTTGGAAGCAATTGCTATGGCCTAGTGAAGTAAAAATGGAAATTATTGGCTACAATCACCAAAGGTGAAAAAAGGAGCAGCATTTGATGAATAGAACACCTTGTTAACTGTTGAGCATAGGAGTGGATCTGTTATGCTTTTG